AATGTACTCTACTTATTTTTGTTTATAATTTCTCTCCCTCGACAAGAATGAAAGCTCCATTAGGGCAAGAATTTCATCCTTTTCTCCCCATTGTATTTCTGTAAAGCCTTGCACATCATCAATGCTCAATGAATATTTGTGAAATGAATGAATCTCTTCAGGCTGTCAAGGAAAACAGTTGTCCAAAGGCAGGGAGACAGGAGAGGGTCTGTTGGAAGACAGGATAGGACCTCACCGATTGTTTGGTAGAAAAAAAGAATGAGGGCAGGGGAATTTTCCAGACTGGAAGACTGGCCACCAAGACCATCAATAGTCCTCTGTGTGGAGTCAGAGCGTGTCAGAGACTAAGAGCCAGAAACAACCTGACACAGAAAAAGGCAAAAACAAAACTGAGGAGATTGACGTGGAAACATAGTGGGTTGGAGAGTGCCTAGAAGCAGTAGGTCAGGCTGTCAGAGGCTTAATGAGAAATAGGAAACACAAATAAGGATCAAGGCAGAGCCATAAGCCTGAGAGAAGCAGCACACAGAGGCCAGAGTTTTAGCTGAAGTACTTTAACTTTGTCTTCCGTCATTCTTCCGACTTCTTTCAGAATCTTTGCCATGGGAATCTTAACCGATAACACTGGAAACACAAAGAACTCGTTCTCTTTTATGCACCTTAAAAGTCTTCTCCATTGTCTCCTTGGTAAATTCTTAGTCATTCTCCAAAATCTCCACTTAGATATTGCGTGCACTGTTCCCTACTGTATTTGCAAGGTCAGAAAACAAATCCAAACAAGTTTGAGCACAAAGGGAAATTTGGGGCTCATATTACTGAAATGCTAGGGGTAGAGATGATTTAAGAATGGCTAGAATCAGGAGTAGAAGTGATTGATCGGGACTCCATCTCTTCTACCTGCTTTCTCCATGAGGCGGACCTGATGGCAAACGGCACCCTGATCATATCTGGCCAGCTTGCCTTCCACAGTAGAAAAAGAGAATCTTCCCCCAGACCTCTGCCAGAAACATCTCAAGGAATATTCTGATTGCCCAAGGTTGGATCACGTGCCCACCCATCAGCCATGAGCTCTGGCCCCCGGATTGACAGTCCCTCTAGGATTAGAGTAGGGAAGGAAAATTACCCAGTGAAATCGTAAGATGTTGTTATGAAAAGGAATATGAAGGGAGGCCGGGCATTTAGAAACAAATGCCAATAAACACTGGACAAATCATGGTTGATCAGTTAAAATGATTGTGGAACTTTCCTCTTGACCACAGTTCCTTGGGCCGTCAGTGGATTGATATGCCGAATATGAATGCAAAACTTTGCCTACATGTGAATCCCTCCAGGAAGTGTTCCCTACCTAATGATGGGCAAAGTATTCCAGGGTGGGAGGGTAGCAATACAGGGAAAGGAAATTCTTTCTCTCCCATACCCACCCATTGTTAACGGCCTCTGATGTAACAAAGCCCACATGCAAAGCTGTGAGGGACAATGTGACAGAGTAGAAAGTATAAAGATAAGGACTTTTATTTGATTCCTATTTAGTTCTTCTCATTAATGTCTCTTTATCTCAGTCTACTCATTTGCTAAATGGAGATTGTAACACCTATTTTGTAGATAAAAGTAGTTTAACACAGTGCTTGGCACATAGATGGTTTCCAGTACTTTCTTGCAGTTATGTAACAGCTGGGTGAGCAACAGAGACTACCCAGAAGTGATTCCTCCTACCCACCATGTCATCCTGTTGGTGGTAAGCCATGCCGTTTAGCAGTGAGGAATCAGGCCTACTTTACTATTCTAGACAGCTCACCCAGGCTCTCCCTTTGACAGCATTCCCTGTCAGTGAGAGCCCAGAGAATGTTTGGAGGACCTCAGCTGCTTTTCATTCTGCATGCTGTTGCAAGCTGGTTTTCAAGTCATCTCTTCCCTTAACATCTCAAGCCAGCTGGGAGAATTTCCTAAAGAGGCCTGTGCTAACTTCGCCCCAGTGATTTCTAGGTGACCTTCTCTGCTCCTTTGAACACATTGAAAGGAGGACCCAACCCCCAAAGCTGCATTCACTGGAGAGAACCTCTCACTTTCCCCAGTGTGAAAGGAAGAATCAAGCTTATTAACACCTCCATTTAAATCAGGTGCTGAAACTTTGCTTTCATAATTACCCAGGATGACTTGTTATTGGGCAAAAATAGAATAAAATCATATTAGAGTAATAAAGAATACAGAATATTATAGATCCTTTCTCCTGTATCAAAAATCTAATTTCAGGGCTTGATTTAAAAAAAAAAAAGAGTTTTCATATTAGTGGTTGAAAATTACATCCTTCCTGGAACTAATTGTGTATATACTTTGTGAAAAACTTGAAGTTTATAATTTTTTTTCTAGTATGGTGGCAGAATCACATTTGCATATGGGGTTTTCCGTGTGAATTTGGTGTTTTGACTTTTTTATTAATGGTATTAATTCATCCTTTTACTGATTCTTTCAGTAAACCTTTACGAATGGCCTGCTTTACTTTAGGCACTAGGACATGTTGAAAGTTAATCTGTAAGCTAAGAGCTAAATTTCATATTTAATTTTTTTTTAAAAAAGGTATCTCTTCACTTCTAAGTAGATTAAATAATGGAAGAAAGTGCAGAGACTTTTTCAATTTATTGTTACGTTTGTCTTAACATTTTTGTTAAATCATGGATGTTATCTTAGTGGAATGTCAGCATACAGTACTTGAATTTTAAAAATTCAGAATAAATTAACAATAATATTTCATTATGTATTGATGGTAATATAATATTATTGTTTTATGCAAGAGACAAGATGTTAAGAATGTAATATAAAAATTATATATCCAGGAGCTATCTCATTCTTGCTGTTCCTTTGATGTAATTCATTTCCATGTTAGCTACATGCGAGGAATGTCTCTGGAGTTTCCCAAATACCCTAAATCTTTATCATTTGTTATTTCCGAATAAATTAGGTTTACATTCTTTCTTTTTTCCTATCCATTAATTATTTAATTCAACACATTTTTTTTGAATACCCTGCACATAGTAATATGATGTGTTGTTTCATAGGAAATTGTTGTTTTCAATAAGATATTCCTTTGAAAATTCTTTTCCCATGAGATATTATTAGGACTTCTGCTAGCTAAATAAACCAGCAAAGTGAGTAAGTAAGTAAAGGAATAGAATATTATATTTTAATGGATGAAATACACACAAAAATAAACAGGGATATATTGTAATAAGTGTTTGATGGCAAGGTCTGTTCTCTCTCAGGAGTGGGATTTCAGCTGAGTTTTGAAAGCTGGGATGTGTCAGCTGTGGTCTGAGCTGGGGAAGAATGTTTCAGACAGGAAGATCATCAAGTCTCTCAGTTCTGGGGGAGAAAGAGCCAGGTATATTTGAGAGACAGAAAGGAGGCCAGGGTGGCTAAAGGGATCATGTAGGATGTCACAGACTTTGTTAAGAAGTTTAAATTTATGCTAAATAAGTTGGGAAAAGATTAAAGTTCTTTAGAAAGCTGAGGAGTGACACAATATAACAAATTTAAAAGATGAATCTGGCTTCTTTGTGGATGATAGATAGTAGATGGGCAAGAATGGGAGTAAGAGAACCAACGATTTAGTGATTGCAGTATACAAGAGAGAAGAGCATTTCCATGATTGCTCTTCATTACATGGTGACATGCCTTTATGAAATGATATGTCATATTTTCAAATGCTGGAGGTCACATGTGAGATCACCTGCTCTCACACACACATGGTGATTCCTCTGGGCATTGAGGCAGCGGCAGGCAGCAGGACAAACGACCAACCTAGTGATGTCTTTTGTTTAGTTAATGATTATTCGTCTGTGTGACATATTGGTGTCATAATTTCACCATATAAGTTTAATATGATTCAGTATTTGCTGTGTACCAAACACTATGGGCATTAATTTCTGCTAGAACCAACACTGGCTCAATATCTGAGCCGATAATATAATAAAATTTGCCAAGAAATAAATAATTTATGGCATAAATGTAATGGAAAATATTTTCAAAATATGTATAAATAGCAAATACATTTTAAAACACCATTCAAAAAATGCTAGAATGCTATTTTCCACTCTGTATATTACTAAGAGCGTTTAAACTACAGCTATCTGAAAATCTTTCTTAATTGAACTTGTCATATCTGTAAAATTGAGCTGAAAATTTATAAGAATTAATTGCCCTCTGAGAATTTTTTTTGTAAATTAACTATATTTGGACTAGTGGTGCTAAAAGACTGACCATCAAAATACTGATGAGACCAATTTAATTCTAAGTGCTCATGATAGAGCCATAAAATTGCTTAAGTCTAGTTTATGTATTTGCTTGTTTTAAAATCACAGGTGCTGGCCCCATGGCCTAGTGGTTAAGATCAGTACACTCTGCTTCAGTGGCCTGGGTTCAGGGTTTCAGATCCTGGGCTTGGACCTACACCACTCATCAGCCATGCTGTGGTGATGACCTACATATAAAATAGAAGAAGACTGGCACAGATGTTAGCTCAGAGCTAATCTTCCTAAGCAAAAAAAAAAAAAAAAAAAAAAAATTGCAGACTGCTACCTCTTTGGGTAAATGATGTACAATTAGACTTCAGTCTTCATTCTTTTCATTTAGTTTCCTTTGTACTTTAAAAATACAGACCAATGCAAATTTTATCACATTTCATAAATTAATTTTAAATGTAATCTCTGAATTAATAAGACATGGATCACACCATTAATTTAGATACATTTCCAACTAGATAGACAAATTTTCCAACGAGAAAATATTTTCTTCAGTAAATTTCACATTCCTATAAAACTTATAAACATTACTCAAAATGCTAACCTAAATTTTAAAAATGTTTGTTGAATAATATGAATTAGATCTAATGTTTACTTTCTGGTTATTTGTATTCATTAGTTTTTAACCATATTTGAGTAAGTTCTATTATGTTTTGCTTTACGCTCTATTTTAGATTTTAAAAGCATAGTGCTTTTCTCTTGCAGATTGTTGCCTTGCGCGAACAAAATGTTCATATACAAAGAAAAATGGCATCAAGCGAGGGATCCACAGAGTCAGAGCATCTTGAAGGGATGGAACCTGGCCAGAAAGTCCATGAAAAGGTATGACACACACAACATGCTCCTACATGGACATGTTGATTTGCTGTATCACTTGAGAGGAATATCAAATATGAAATCCATGTAGTAAACATTCTTTACAATTTTTTGATTTGTTGGTCAAAGGTTCATAATGGCTTCCCTTTTCATTTATTGTTCTTTTGTAATTCGATTTTCTTAAAAATAATATATAAGTGCATGTGTTCATGCATATATATATTTGAATTTCTCATTACTTGCTAACTTGATTCTTTTAAAAATAATTCAATTATATGTAATTGAATATATACAATTAAATATATCTATATGGATATGTCAATAATATATATCCAGCACTTTTTAAAGTACAATAATAATAACTTTGAATTTTAAGTGGTATTATGTACAGCTGGTGACTTTTCCTTTGTGTTTGGGAAGGCCCCAGCAGTAGTCCTGTTAATGAGAAATGACATAAAACAATATCTGAAGTCATGGGGCTTTTACCACTTTTTTAGGAGAGTGATTCTCCTTTAGGGGGGCTTTCCCATGCCAAGGAAACCCACAGCCTGTTTGGCCCTTTTCTATGCTGAACCCTTTGTTTCCAGCAGCAGCAGCAGGTCTGTTCCTGGTAGGTCTGGAATCAGGTAGAGATTACGTAGGCATTTGCACATCTTGTGTATGACGCTTAGAAAATCTCCTGGATATTTGCCTTTAACAAATTATGTCTTTGGATGATTGAGTTCCTTAATCATCAAGAACACATGACTCAGGTAGGTAACTTGGTGTCGTTGTGAATGTCAAGAGGTTTTAAAACATAGAGATTAAGAAGCAAGTGACTGGACCACAAGACAAATATCACTAGACTTCTTACCACTGAAACAAATGAAGGGGCTTCTTACATTTCCTCCTTCAAGTATAAAAGCAGAGGAAGCCAAGGATACCAGGCTAATTTCCTGAGACTGTCAACAATTCTGGCGGTTGAGAAGCAAACAGCTCTTATTTAAGGCTTCACCATTTTAGACTTTATCCATGTGTTTCCCAGAAATCTTAAGCTAAGTATTAAAAAATAAACTACATTCTGACAGCTAGATTCCATGAGCTGCATTTCAGATCTCAATAAAATTATTTCCCAGGGCCGGCCCCTCGGCATAGTGACTAAGTCCAGCATGCTCTGCTTCAGCGACCCAGGTTCACAGGTTCAGATCCCCGACATGGACCTACACCACTCATCAGCCATGCTATGGTGATGACCCACATACAAAGTAGAGGAAGATTGGCACAGATATTAGCTCAGGGCTAATCTTCCTCTGGAAAAAACAAAACTATTTCTCTTTCGTTCAGATAAATAAACTGACATTAATTCAGTAAATAAATCATCTTTATAATAAGGTATTTTCACACAAAACTCAGTTTAGGAAACTAACGTAATTTTCTATTACTGTTTCATTTTAATTATAGCATTAGTAATATAGTGCCATACCTTTCCTCAGAGGATTGTAGAATCACACTGATTTAGCTAAGAAAATGAACTTTATGGTCATCTAGTCTTTTTCTTAGAAGTCTACAAAATACTGTTTTCCATAACAGTACTGTATTTATGTATAATCCAGACTGGAATTAAAGAAATATGCCTTTCAAAGGCATAAAGAACTTGAGATCTTGTTGATTCTCTGATGCTTAAAGCATTCTTCTGGTTCTTCTGGAGAGGGGACGTTACTCATACATGTATTGTTTTCAAACATTGTTTCTTCAAGATATAACCCCTAAGTATTCAGGGGTCTAAGTGTTGTAGAATATAAGACAATTCATGTCAGATTAAATTTCAGAAACTGGTCACAGAATTAGGATTAGGATCTATGTAACTGATGTATATGTATGTGTGTATGTATAATTGTCTCTATTGGACTCCACAGATAGAAGGTGTATACATGGAGGATACTGAGTAGTTAGTGACCTGAAGTACTTGTCTTTAACTTTCTTTGCCTTCTGGTTCTTGGTGAAAGCATTTAAGCCAGTATAGAAGAGAAATTCTGTGCCATTGCTAACTCACTCGCTCTTCATTATGTATGTAACTAACGATTTTTCAACATTGTAGTTTTTTTTTTTTAATTTCCCAGAATTATAGGAAGAGTGATTTTCACATGCTTTGGAATAATGGTATAGCATTATTGTTTAAAATATCATGCCCATATCCTCCAATGTGAACCTAAAATATATATAAAACATATATCACATATATGTTTATTTTAAATTTAAAAACAAATAAACTGTTTCACTTTATATTATTCCTGAGATTATTCGAGAAAGTACTCCAGAACTTTTATTTATATGACATTTCTTACCTGCCATTTCTCTTTTTTTCTGTGGTCAGAACATTTAAGATCTACTCTGTTAGCACATTTCAAGTATACAACACAGTATTGTTAGCTATAATCACCACGCTGTACATTAGATCCCCAGAACTTACTTATCTTCTAATGGCTGACATTTCTTGATAAAATATGACATAATAGCCTAATTATTATTTTTATCATTCTCATCTAAGTGCTTCTTAATTACACACATGTAACATTATAAAGCATCTTTTCTTTTCAAAATTATCCCCTATACCATGATTATTTAAAGCATATCAATAACATTGAATAACAACGTCATAGGATTGTAACTTAAATCCTAACACTTCACTTTTTTTATTGAGAACTGTTTGAAAGGTATATCCAAACAAAGAAAAAGAGAATATTATTTTTGGGAGGGTCTCTGTAATGAAGGTTATCAGTGTAGGATGACTATAGTATTAGTGTGTAAATTATAAGGTGGTTTTTGGTGGGAAAAACACAAAACTATTGTTAGATACTATGGAACTGTCAGAAAGTGACTTGTAAATCCTAGTCACAAGGATTACCCTTTGTTTAGGGCAGTAAAGTTATTTAAATTATATAGTCAGGGTGGGTTATTAGCCAACAGGAGATGTTTGATGTTAGCGGCTTGAGAACTCTGTTGACAAAGTAGTTGATAAAAATAGTCTCATAAAAACACACTCTGAAATATGCCTTATTACTCATAGAAAAGTTGTGTAATTACTATCAACATTTTAAAAACAAAAAATGAAAAGAAAAAAATAAGCTTAACTGAAACAAGTTTAAATGTTTCTTTATGCCATAAATTTAATCAATTGTTCTAGAAGAATGTAAATATTCACAAGATAATAAAAATTTTCAGGATGGTAAATTTTACCTCCTTAAAGGTTCAGAACTGGGCTCAATAACTTTTTTTCCTCTTGTTTCCTAGAAGAGAGTTAGTTTGTGAAATTTTTTTAATAAACATGCTGCTCTCATAAAGGAGTTAGCAGTCCTCCTGACTCATATATTCTGTACTTCCAATTATTTTTTTCAGCTGCAAATGTTTGCAAAGTGATGTGGATAAGTAGACGGTTAGCCAGTCGTGGAGGCCCAGAAGACATAGTCCCTGTAGTAAATTCGCCAAGAAACTATAGTGAGAAACAAACCTGCCTAAATTAATATTGCACAACAAGATAAATAAAATAGATCAAAAATGATATTAGGGTTTACAGGAGAAATAAATTAACTCTGATTGGGGGATGTCAGAGAGGCAGCATGGAATAGTGATTTCTTTGAAGTCGGTAGACCTGGATTCAAATCAACATTATGCTCTCACATTCCTTTGTGCCAGGAGATTCCTTTAGGTATTATTGTTGATTTTTAGAAGTTCATTCTAGCTCAATCTTATTTTTTCTGATCATTTATTCTTTCATAATTACACATATTCATTTGTTTTCTAGAGTTGATTATTTTATTCTATTCAAGAGTATGCTTTTTTCTTAATTTTTCCCACAACTTCTCCCAGTTACCTTTTACTCTGAGAAGATTCAAAACTGACTGCTGTGAGTCCGGCTCTTATACCTGGGCTAGATGGGCCCATGCCCTGGGCCCACGATATGGTGGGTCCTGATCTGGTCATCTGCGCCCCTCTCTATGGGATGAGGAGTCCATGATACCAAGGGAAATCACACACCCGTGAACCATGACCATCCCTTCTAGATCACCTGCCAGTTACCTGGAAGCCCAGACTTTCTGACCAAGCACACCTTAGCCTGCCTCTAGGGCCTTCATGGGTCTATATAATAACATTATATAATTAAATTAGCTGTATATTTAAATGTTTGGCTTACAAATATACCACATTTCTATTTAAAAATACTCATAAACATCCTTTAACACAAACACCACTCTTTTAAAGACCTCCACCAAGTTCTAGCTGAAAGTCATCATCTATAGGGATGTCTCCAGTATATAGACTGTATTTTGCCCATTTTTATATGCCTTCCTCACTACATGTCATCTACCGCCAACAACTCTTCTTCCAAAAATTCAGTCTTTGTTAACTGTATTTTGCACATAGGTGGTTAAGCCCCAGTTTCTTCTCTATATCAGAGATAATTATCTTTTTGGTTTATTTGTATGTGAATAGCACTAAGAATATTTTCTTCTGTCCATTGATCCCATATATTGTAATCTAATTTCTCATAACAACATGATAATAAAGTGTATACTTCACTTTTATTCTTCAATTAATTTTTGAGCAATGAAACCAAATAGGAGAATGGGGATTATGAATTTGCAATATTGGGGTTGGCATACCTCCTAGGAAAGAGAAGGTCCAAGTATAGCCTTAGATACGTGAGGCTGGAGTGGCCTAGAGGTCTATGACAGGGTAGGAAAGAGCCTGGAAGAGACGAGGTTAGGCTGTTCTATGGTTCATCCATGTGTGCATGAAGTTATCCCATATCGAATTTATAGGAGCTGAGCTGGAAGGGAAGCTTGTGACCACAAGTCAGGTATCTTCTACATACAATCGAAAAAGTAAGAAGTAAAAATTTTCTAATGTTGTGTGGGAACTCATTAAGTTCAAAACAAATCTCTCTGAATGTAGTGACTGGGTTTTCATGCTTTAACTAGGATGTTAGTAGATGGAAGGGAAAGTGGAATCGACTCTTCCATCTTTAG